CAGCACCACCAGCACCACCACCACCACCACCAACACCACCACCACCACCACCACCGCCACCACCACCACCACCACCACCACTACCACTACGACCACCACCACCACCACCACCACTACCACTACCACTACGACCACCACCACCAACACCACCACCACCACCAACAACAACAACTACTACTACTACTACTTCTTCTGCTGCTACTACTACTACTACCACCACCACCACCACTACTACCACTACTACCACCACTCCCGCTGCTGCTGCTGCTGCTGCTGCTACTACTACTACCACCACCACCACCACCACCACCGCTGCTTGCACCGATACTGCTACCAGTGTTCTGCTGCGCCTGTCACTCCTCCTCCACAGTCGCTCCATGTTATCGCGTTGGATCCGCGGGATGAAACGTTACAGAGCTACACACGGTGCCAGATCTTTCAGCCGTAAACTTACCTGGGAAAGACGGGTTGCTGGTCGTCTGGGTGGTAGGTTACCAGCGCGCTTGGCTGGAGGCCGCTGGGCAGGTGGAAGAGCATGTAGAGGGGTATCCAAGCCAGCCAATAAGAAGGCAAGTATTCCAACGATGACGACGCGATGCGAACTAACAATTCAGACCAACGCTTCCAATTCAATGCACAACACACTGGCCAAATGACGCTGTTGATAGCCCATACTGACCGTACTCCATCTACAGTATCTCCAGCTTGTGCGAACATCAAGAACTGCCCATGATCCCATGTGTCCACATCCACCTGCCAAGCGCTCGGCACTCTTGGCAACACTCCAGCAGACCTGCCCCACCATGCGCCGCAGGCCGTAACGCTTGCCTGCCACTGTTACCACCGACCTGGCAAGAACCATGTGGCACGAGCTTAGCTCACGCACTTCGTACAGAGATACGGGTCCGAATTTTTACTCGCAGCATGCACCGTGCCACTGGTTACTTGGCTGTCTTCGCGTGTCTCCACCATGGGCTTGGGGCCGGGCTGAGGGAAGGAGGTCAAGTCGCTTGGCAGCCTCGGACGGACAGACACCGAGGCGGAACTTTGGGTGGACAGAGGCTCGAGGCGCCGGCTTCTTCTTTTTCTGCACTCCCACAGCCTCGGACTTCCGGTTTTTGGGGTGTTCCAGAAAAAGCCCAGAATCCTCAAACCTACGGTGAAAGGCCTCTGCTTCAGCGTGCTGCTGAATCTGGAGGAGGTCCTGGTAGAGGACTTGGCGGGACAGTCTGGGGGGTTAGCAGATCAGATGATCAGCAATTTGGCTGTGAAGGTAAGAACAGGCACCGGCACTTGACTGTCATCTGATTTTGTCCATCACTTTTGGTCTTCAAGTTGGGGTGGGCTTGAGCCTATAATCCTTGGCGCAACACTAACCGCACTAACCCCTAACCGTAGAGCCAGTATCCTGAACCACCTGACCCCTGAAGCTAAGCGAGTGCTGCCAAGGCCAAGGCCCCCCTTAGGTCCCCTCGGGCCTGATTGTACCGCGCAGTGTAGACTTCTTCGATGAAGCTCAGGAGCTCCGCCTTCCAAAAGAGAGCGAACAAAAGAAGTTGGCCAAAGGTGGACAGAGACGGAAGGTCCCAGGAATGTGCGCACGGGCGCGTCCTTCGTCATGGTCTTGGGATGTTGGCCAAGGGCAGGCAGCAGGCCGGTGAAGGTCGGAAACCTCGGAGTTTGGGTGCTGGCTCTTCATCCAAATATCAAGATTATGTGTGGGATTGCGTGGGGGGTTGTGATCACTGGTTGCTGTCGCTGCGACCAGAAACGCTTACGAGAATGTACGCGTTGTACCCTGAGGCTCTTCTGGTCTGTGACGGTAATGAAGTGGATGCTGAGCCAAAACAAAGAGTTTACAAACCCCAGCTTTCAGAATCCAGAATCTCAGGAGTTCCGAGGCAGTTCTTATTCGCCAGACCGTCGCCGGAGCCCTTGCTGGCGAGCAGGACTTTGCACCCTCACATCCTGACCTCCTCCAAAAAGGCAGGTCGAAAAAAAGCGATGCGTGATGTCAACTGTCAGCGAATGCGCGGGCTCTTGAGCACCGGGCCTTTTCTTCAGCTCGCTTTGCACTGCTGTCAGGCTCGTCCCTTTGCCAGCGCCAGGGGTTTCCTCGCATCAGCAAATCCGGTTTTGGGGGGAGCACCGCTTCAGCGCTCACCGAGGTCGACTGCCCGCTTCTTTGTGTTCTCCTCTGTCCGTGCAGAAGTGCTTGGAGTGCTGCTGGCGCTGGGCACCCCTAGGTGAAAAAAAGTCGATGCACAAAGGAGAATCCACAAACAGCCATCATCCCCACAGTGTGAACGTCTGCAGCTGCATACGTCGGGTCCGCAACTTAATGTGTGCGGGTATGTGCCAGTCTAGACTTCGCACATACCATGCCTTGCCCACGATGTGTTGGTAAGTCGGCAATGCATCGAGAGGGTCACTTTGCGGCAAACCGAGGCGAACGCAGCCGGCCATGTTGATCTGATCCTTGCAGAGAGAGAGAGTGCGCCCGTGACTGGAGTCAGAGCCAAAAACACCAGCACCCCGATAGGTTTCTGGTCGATGCCGAGTATCGGCGGCTTTATCAGCTCCAAGCGAAGGTGATGCAGCTGGACTGGTGGCCTGGCCGCAGAGCACAGAGTTACTTGTGCTCGACACTTTCCGGCATGGTGGGTCCCGACGCAGCTACGTGTTTCAGTCGACCGTGCCTCAGGTCTGACAACCTTCACAACCGCAGAGAACTTGCCCGATATGTCAGGCTTGAAATCGACCTGGCAGCTCCCTACACTTCTCAACAACGGATGCTTAGACGATGACGACCTGTTTCCGATAATCCCTGACAAGCTCCACGGGACAGCGTATCTCAACCTCTAACTCATCTCCATGGCCTTGTTTGCGACAAGGAAGGACAGCATCCGCTCCCGCTCCGCTGGCGGGAGATCCTGTCCACAGAGAGAAATATACAGAGAGAGAGAGAGAGAGTGGGAGAGAGGGAGAGGGAGAGGGAGAGGGAGAGGGAGGGAGAGAGGGAGTGAGCGTGAGGGAGAGAGGAGGTCCAAGATTCAAACAAACAGAGGGACCGGCAAAAGAAGGGAGAGACAGCCAGAACACAGTAGAGCGAAAGAGGAACGGGTTGGCTGATAGAATCGGTGGACACGTTCAAAACTTATGGCACAGACATGTGTCTATGCACAGATATGTGTGCCTGCTCACGCTATGCGATGCTGCTTCCCATAGAAAGAAATGACCGGACTCAGTACTAAAGAAGGCCCCAACAGTAGACAAGCCCTAATCTTCCTGAACCTTCTATGCGTTGCATGCCCAAACCTGCGGGCTGAGTGGGCTGCAGGAATCAAAAGCCTGGTTTGATGACTCTTTGCGTGCGTGTCATCACCAAAGGACTGCTGAAATGCGATGTTGCATCGGCGCGCAAACATATGTCTGAATGCCCAAAGCTCTTCTGTAGCTATACTGTGGGGTCACTTTTCATGGTTTAGGATCAAACCCTCATGGGCCCTTACCTACACTTCAAACACACTTGCTTGGGCAGGCGCTGCAAGCACCACTCGCGGAGGCGCCATGGCTTCAACTAGTACGAGTACGAATCCAGCGACCTTGCTTGGTATTGCTCCACATCTTGCATGTTTTGCTAGTGGCTTTGCTGTTACCAGTCTTCTTCTTGTCCGTTGCGAATGACATGCATGCTGCGCACAATAGCCGCTCATTCTTCCATTGTGATGCTGCTTGTGTCTGGGATGTGCGACGCGGTCTAAAGCTAGGGCGGCTGGGGATGAGACATCATTACGAAACCTTGATTTCCGCCCTCTTGTACCTCTCATCCGGCCCCGGGCCAGCGCCTGGGCCATCAACTTCACCGTGCAGTACATCCGACAGCGGCTGTTATTGCTTCCTGCTTATGTATGCGGGTGCAACAACAGAATCGACAGCAGTGGCGCGAAAGACCTTGACTCCTGCATGCTTGAATGCTGCTCCGGTGCATTGCCTTGAATGCTGTGAATCAGCATGAATTTTATGATCTATATATGGTATATAGGCTTTGTGCCAGACAAATTTAGGCTCTGCGGAAGTCACTCTTTCAGAGTGCCACAGCAGATGCTCAATTGTGCATAAGACAGCACGGGGCATGCGCGACCTACCTAGAAAACATGGCTTCACATTAATGGTGTTATCTCAGAGCGAGCTTTCGCTGGACCCATTGCCACGGGCAGCTTGAGAAACCTCGCGACAATCACCAACAAGGGCTAAAGTCTAGCCAGGGTTGAGTAAGCCCTCGAATGATGTAAGCCTCAGTCGTTCATTGTGGACCCAGCGCCTGCACCTACGCTTGAACAACCACGTCCAGCCCGAGAGATGCTCAGCTTTGCCAAAGCCAATCCCTACGGCTACCCAGAGAACCCAATACCCCTTAATTAAGGAATATACCTTAAGCTATAGGAACCTTAATATTATATGATTTAAGGTATATTCCTTAATTAAGGGAAAGGTGCTTGGAGAGGCCACAGCAGCTGAGCCCCTGAGGCCCATCTGCATCGGGATCGCCTGCTTCCTGTGCCGCTGCACGGTAGGCCTCAGACTGCCAAGCTTCAATCGGCAGTGACAGGATTGCCCCTCCTTTGCGCGGGAACCCGACTGATGGGCCTAATTGCCATGTATCAGAGATATGATAAGAACTATCCCCGAGAACTGGCTGACGCTCTTCTCGAACATGTTCACATTGCCGCCACACCCGCAAGCCTGTGTGATGATTCAGTGAAAGAAAAACCCAGTTTGCCGGAGTACTGAAGTCGACGCGACTCTGGTGCGGGATTGGACCACAACCATGGAGCTCTTGACGAATGCCGACACCCTAAACCAAAGCAACCCCACAAAGAATCCAAAAGGTCCGAGCAGCGATCAGCTCCTCGCGCGCCGAGGCTTCCGCATGCTCTGCGGCACCTGACACAACCGGCCGAGATTGCGTTGCTGGCAAGGGTCGTCTTAAGCGACTTCTGTCCTCTTCGTGTCCTGCCATGGTCGAAAACCAAGGCAGGGATGCCTCTAGCTTTGGAGCTACTTCGTCAGTGTGTAGTGGCGCAGCCAGAAGATTTGTTCGGAATGGGGATCCCCTTATGCTGTGGTGCCTACTTAGATTCCATGCGAAAAAATCCGGCACGCAGCTCAGGCAGTCCTCAGTCATGCTTCGAATTCAGGGTCGAGAGGCCGGAGACAAGCCAGTACAGCAGAGTGTGAGCCACTTCTGCCACAATGAGCAGCAAGACGCCTCAGAAGTCGGAAGAAGATGAACTCGTGACACAGAAGTTCCCCTTCAAGAGTTTGCAAAGGCTGGAGCAACGCAGAACAGGCAAATGGTCTATGCACTCCAGGAGGTGAAATACTTCCCCCAGCTTCAGACCACAACTCGGAGAGCAGGGCATTCTTCTGGGGCCAGGAGGCCGTTGTGTGTTGACAGCACGATGCCCTGCTTCTTGTAGATGCCCATGCAGAAAGTGATGACCTGCATGTCGGCAGGACGACTCCGACATTGCCCCTCTGAAGTGAAACAGACTCCGGGGATCTGGCATAGACACCCATGATGGACACGTCCAGCATCGCCAGCTTCCGTAGCACCTTCGCCTCACGGGTGGGTGAGCTGGATTGGTGTAATCATGACGCTGAAGACTTGAAACAAGTTCATGATGACTCTGCCACCAATGTGCGTGTAGCTCCATCCTAAATGCTCTGATTTGAAACACTCTACAGTAGACTCTGAAGCATCCCGCGACTGAGGACGCAGCCCAGGAGTAGAACCAACATGGCTGGTCAGACGGAGGTAGGCCTTTGCCTGCCTGCAGCGGACGGGGTGCTTGAGTGGAGCCCTCGGGGAGAAAAAAGGCCCTGCCTCAAAGCAAGGTCGGGTTCACAGCCATCCCTTCATTTTGAGTTCGACTTCGGTAAATATTCAGTCACCTCCAGTGAAGGTCAAACACACCTCGACTATAAAGGATACATCGGGAGGACAGAAGTCTTGACCTACTGGACCTTTCTTGTCTTGAGACCTCTTGGCCGGAGACTCAAATGACGTGGCCTGGCTAGCGAAGTATTTTATTTGATACTCCCCCCCCCGACTCGAAATTGTATACTACTCTGGTGTTCCGGAGGAGTACCCGGTGAATCCTTTCTGGGAATGAGGTCTCCGTTCTATGAACCCACCAGTATGTCAAACTTTCGTCCTCCCCCAGTGACGTTGAGCTCATGATAATGAACCTCCTGCGAGGTCGGTTGACTACTGGGAGGGCTGAAAAAAGGGCAGCCCGAAGCCCCGAAGTCTTCCTTTCGGAACCAGGGACGGGAGAAGTTCTCAGTCTTCGGGAGGGGGTTGATAATTGAGTTTCCGGACTCGGGTCTTTTAAACCGAAGGGAGGGGTTTCCTAAAATGAACTCAACATTATATATTCTAGCCGAAAGGATCTACCCCGGACGCAGTCTTACAAGTGTCGGGGTTGCCCCATAACCTGTACAGGTGGCGGTACCATGGAACTGCAAGTGGGCCCTGGTGGGAGGACCAGTAGGAGCAGGTGTAGCCGAGGTCCGGGGACTTGATGCATTGCGAATACCCTCCTCTTTGCCCTTGCCAGGCTGCCCCTGTCGGTTCCAGGCGGCTGGCAGCAAGCAGAAGGAAAAGGACATCTGCCAGCGGCAGTGCCTTTGCTCGCAAACCAAAGACCTTTGACTTTCTCTTGTGCAGACTGGGATGCACTGGAGCATGCGGCATCGTGGAGGGCGAGGAGATGTGACGAAATCTGACGTGATTTGGCCTGGAACTCGACAGCAGGGCGCCTATGTGCTCAGCATGGCTCAAGTAAACTTGAAAGTCTTCTGCAGTCCGGTCGTCGCAGACAAGATGTATAATTAAAGTATAGGTGGAGACGCAGGCCACCGGGCATCTGCCGCAGACTGGGCCAAGCTGCTATAACGCAGAATCCGAACATCACCAAGGCAAAGAGACCTTGAGCGTCACCAGGGCCGGCAATGGATCGATCGACATATATATATATATATGTGTATATATATATATGTTTGTTTGTTTGTTTATCTATTTAATGGTTTGTTTGTTTATGTATTCATTTATATTTATGTATATGATTTATTTATACAGTATACGCATATGTATAGTTGTGTGTATATTTATACCAGTATATACACAGAACCAGAATACTGCCAAGCTCAGAGCTGCTCGGTGAGACTTTTCTGTTTGGAGTTCCCGCGTCGTGGCCAAGATCAGACTTTAAGGACGAAATGGCCCTTAAAAGTAGTGGCAGTGGCCCGAAACCAATACCCTTATACTATGATTCCCTATACGGTGCATGAACCTTAAACCCTAAGCCCTAAAAACCCTAAACCCTGTAGCCTAAACCCTAGAACCGTCAGAGTCTCATCCTGGGACGCCGCAGCCCTGGAATGACCTTTGACATTGATTGCTACTGCTTGCATCTGCGAGATCTGCCGAGGCTCTGTTGGCCTCGCCGCTGCCGATCTCTTGTATCAGCCAGCGGGTGCAGGAGAGGATGCTGATGTCGGACTTCAGGAGGTCCGGGATGGCCAGGGACTGGCACAGAATGCAGCTTCAGATCCGGAAAGATCCTGCATGTCTCTTGAACGTGGCGCAGGCCGGCGATGTCGTTGATCCCTGACCTGTCCATTACTATGCTGATGAAGGCACCTCCACAAGGGGCTTGGCAGAGTACGGCACGGAGCCATTCGGGGGGTAGAGTTGTCTCTCATCGATCCTCACAGCACGAGATCACAAGGTGAACAGTCCTCGCATCTGTCCCGTGCCGGGAATCCCGTGCGGTCCTCAAAGACATGCAAGGAATCGAAAGGCCGGCGATGAAGAAGATTGCCTTCATCAGTGCGGGCACTTCCCCTCATCCCGGGCTCCCTTACTCAAAGACTCTTCAAGAAGGACTGCTCCCATGCAGCCACAGGGCGAAGACAGCCGCGATCACTCCCGCCAGAAGTTGTACTGCTTTGGCACTACAGAGGGGCTTCCTCGCAGATGATCTTTGCAATGTTTGAGCGCTTTGCATGGTCTTTGCCGGACGGACATTCCTGAAGAGCCGCATCCACTAAAGATCGAACAAAGGAAGCCTGGACTCCAGAAACTAGATGGAAAAATACCCAGGTTTGATGGATGCTTGACTGATCTTTACTGTATACTCTGCAAGCTCGTTCGAAGGCAGGGGATAGCACGGCAAGTGCGGCTTAGCTAGAAAATGTTGAACACATAGAAACCGCGGGCTTCGAGAGGCTTTGGGAATCGGTGAGCGTTTTTCGAGATGTAAACAGATGGAAGGCCTGCATTGCCAGGGAGTTTCTCCAAGTAGAACAACCATAAATACTACAGTAGCCACTCCGTGCAGCATTGCTTGCCTGTCCAACAAGATTGGCCCTCGAAGTCACTTGTCCACTTAGAGTCTACTTGCCGTTCCAGCGGGTCCCGGTGACTGCCGTCTTCGTCGGAAGCAGCGGCAAGCTGATGCCCAAAGACCTGTCTTGTGAGTGCAGGATTCCCATGGCTCACAGAACTTCGTACAGTATGCGGCTGCATATCATGGCTGAAAATCGGGCGGCATGTGTCCCAACCCTCTGAGAGCTTGGCGAAACTGTCGAGCAAACACAGAAAACGCTGAAGCAAGAGAAGCCCACCTCCAGGTGCAAAGTTTCTGAGTTTGTGTGGTAGTTCTCCAACAACATACAGCGATATACAGTAAACGACTCTAGTTACGACTCTAGTTTCTTTCGAGAAGCCAGTACAGTCACCGTTAAGAAAATGGGGCCTCTGGATGTTGAGGGCTCACAGTCTCAACGACCTTGGTGTTCTGCCTAGCCGCATCGAGCTTGGCTGCCGTTAAGACCAATGGGTCGCTGTGAAGCAGCCGCACCAAGTGAACCAGCAGGATGTAGGCAAACATGTCCGGACCTTTCAAGCAAGGTTTGGACTGGATGCAAACCCCGTAGCAGAAGCATCCATACAGTACCATCAGCTGTCATCAGCGCGGATGTGATTATCCAGATGACAAGACTTTTTGCAAGGAACGACTCGTGGCTGGAAATCTCGACTTAGTTGCTGGATCTGACATAACATCTTGAGCTCCTGGCAGGCCCATTTTGAGATGCTCTGCACGATGTGGATGCAAAGCCTGGCGACCAGGACCTGCAGCCAAAAGGCGCTTCGGACAGTCACAGGTAGTCCATTTAGGGTTTAGGCTTTAGGGCCTATAGGGTTTAGGCTTTAGGGTCTATAGGGTTTAGGCTTTAGGGTCTATAGGGTTTAGGGTTTAGGGTTTGGCAGCTTTCGGTTGGACTAGCTGCCTGGGCCGAGACAGACTACACTCCTGCGCATGTCTTTGCCATCCAAATCCAATGATCTGTGTGATTTCGCTGGGCTCAGGTTGTCTCAGGCGAGCACCAGAAATTCTGAAGACGAGAACCTAGGTCAAGCAGTTGGAAAGCAAGGTTCATCCCTGGAGCTTCTCATGACCGAGGATGGGGCCTGAAGACCTCCCCGATGGCCAACAAAAGCAGCTTGACCACCGGCACCACGACTGCATAGAGGACAATGAGGACTGCTCCTGTCCTGCAGGGCTGAAACATCAACTCATGTCGATTTGATAATAGAAGGGTGCAGAAAGCATGAGTCCCGAATGCAGATGAAGGTTGCATCCAGGGCTCACCAGAATCATCAGCGAAGGCACATGGTATTTCACTTCTTGAAGCTTACAGTAGCAATTAAGCAGAAGAACATTAGAAGAAGACGTCGTCTGCACCTAGGCTGCGGGCGTAGCGATGAAACACGAGTCCTGGATCCTGTCTTCTCCAGCAGATGCACCAGCCCAGTGACGGTTTCTGTGCAAGCAGCATGGCCTTTCTCCTAGGCTGGGATTCCATAGCTTTAAGCATCAAGAAGGTACCGAACCAAAGTAGGAAAGAACAGGAAAAACTACAAGAGCACAAGCCTGGAGTTGACATGCCCAGTCTCCGGCTGCACATCTATTCGGTGACCGAGGACCTTGTCAGGCAGCATGGCTCTCACGGCTCGAGGGCTACGCACGAAACGACGCAGTGCTGCCAGCATTTGGGTGTGCATCTGAGATTTGAGAAGATCGTGCACAAGGAATTGAGAACCCTCAGCGTTCAATCGGGCAGGCTGGAAAGGATTGCCTTGTTAGTTGCTGGTGAGCTACATTGACGACGATGTTGAAGCTGAAGAGAACCTGCGTCAGGCCAGGCACCAGGAGGACCTTGTCACGAGAGAGCAGCCCGACAATTCAGAGTCACGACCTCAGTGCCCTTGCTTCTTCAAAACTGTTTGCAGGCATGCTCCTTGTGAGGAAAGCGGCAGAGATTTCCACAGAAGACCACTCCAAGGTCTTACGGCATCAGTCTTCCCCCAGGGTGTATGCAACTGTGGTCTTCGAAGCCTTGAAGCCCTGAGTGAGCTCTAAATAAAGCCCTGATTCGCAGATCTGTGGGTTTGCTGCTCTGTCATAGAATCCAACTCCGTCATACTGTGGCCCGACCTGTGGCTATATTTACCTGGGGTTTTCAAGCCGACATTGTCTCCTGAAGACAACGTCCAAATGCCTCCACGTGGCATAGCTGAGAATTAGCATGATCGTCGACCAAGCGGGGGGCCGACCTCCGCTTGCCTCAGTGGCAGAGCGTATATAGAGGCTCGTAAGATTTGCTGCTGATGGCGACGCGGGGATTGGACTCGCAACTCAAGGCAACTGACCATGGCGGCCCGTTGCAATGTAGCATGCATTACGAATCCGACCAAGTGTTTTGCAAAACTGCAACTATGTTCTAGCCATCCGAGCTCCATCGTGCTTTCCACCTGTCGATATGTGCGAAAGGACACCATCGTTCGCATGCCTTGGGTTTTGTTTGATGATATCGCAGGACAGGTTACGGTGTTAAGGCTCATGTTAGAGTCGCTCAGCGAACATATCTATATGCGTATATATATATATATGTATAGATATATATATATATATATGTATGTATGTATGTATGTATGTATGTATGTATAGCTGTATGTATACGCATTTGCTTATGTATATGTATATGTATACTTATATATATATATATGTGTGTGTATGTGTATATGTATGTGAATGCATATATGTGTATGTAGGTAGTATATACATATACATATGTCTGTCTGTCTGTCCGTCCGTCCGTCTGTCTGTCTCTGTATGTATGTACGTACGTGTGTACGTATGTATGCATGTATGCATGTATGCATGCATGATTAGGTTCGAGACATCGTGGTAT